ATGGCATTATATGAGTCATAATTGAATATATGTTAAAATAAATTTTAGTAAATTACAAATTCAAACCAATTTATTAAACTTGAAGATTCAATATTAACTCGATAAATTTAAATATACGTAGGTTGTTTAATTTCTTAGTGAGTGAAGTTTAAGATACTTAACTGAATTAGACTCAACTTGACTCATTTATTGTCCTGAATGAGATTTTTTTTTGTTTGAAGTAGATCTAGGATTAAAACTTTAAACTCTTTCCAAAGATGATATTGGAGAGGATCAAATACATACTTAGATACTCTCACTTCCACCCGCTCAGCTCTCATTCATCAACTGAGCTACCCTGATTTGGTCAAACCTAATTTATTAAGCTTATAATATTTAAGTTATCCAAAAAAAATTATAATATTTAAGATGTTTCAGTTTATATTTCTCTTTCAATAATCTCATTATTTGAAAAAAATCAGATAAAAAATTAATTTTATAATAATATTATATTTGGATTTGATATTTCTCATGTTATATGAGATAATTTTATTTTCTATGCATACATAAAAGTATATGGGGTCAGGTGAAGACAAAAAAGAAGAAGAAAAATATGGATCCTATATATTTTTATATATGTATAGAAAGTAAAATTTATTTTCTGTAATATAAAAGATATTAAATCCATAATATTTAGTTGAAAAACTCGAACAAATCCAGTCAAGGAGACCAAAACCATCAACTACATGGGTATATGATACGGTAGCAAGAAGGGGAGCCAGACTTAAGGGTGGTCCAACATGGGTCAAAGACTTTGTCTTATAAGCCCAATGGCTGTTATAGAATAGTTAAGGGAAAGGCCCAATAACATTGTAAACTTACTGGTTGTTAACAGTTGGGGAAGATTAATGGGTAATGCCTACGTGGCTTGTAAAACATCTATAAAGGGGAGTTAGTTGTATTGAAACCGTTTTATCGAATTACAGAAGTAACACATTGTTCTTGTTATTGTTACTCAATACAGATTCTCTTCTGTATCATTTGGTGCTTTCATATTGTTGTGGACTCCTTCGATTCTTCCCAAAATGAAGATGCAGGAGCTTGCTGATGAGTTTTCACAATATAGGGACCAGACTAATCAGTGTTTCGAACAATTATTGGTTACCATGGAATCCAGATTTCAAGAAGTTCAATCGAATTTTCGTGAATTTTTGATGCATGGGTCAAAGTCTGCAGGAACTACACCTCTACATAGCTCTCATCAATCTGGTGGGGGTGACAATTCGGGGGGACATTCTGAGGATCCCAGAACGGTGTTGCGTTTTGTGAAGCCGGAAATACCCAAATTTGATGGGACTGAACCAAATACTTGGATTTTCAAAGAAGAGTTATTTTTTAAGATCCAACAGGTTCCAGAATCCTTCAAGGTGGATCTCGCTGGGTTGCGGATGGATGGAATTGCTGCTGATTGGTTTCAGTGGATTTCAACTAGTGGAACCATTACATCTTGGAATGCTTTTGTGAAAGCAGTGCGTGAACGTTTTGGTCCTTCAAGTTACAAGGACATTCGTGGAGTGTTGGCTAAACTGATGCAGAAAGGTTCATTGGCTGAATATATGGCTGAATTTCAGAAATTGATGAACCAGGTAATGTCAGTGATGATTTGTTGATGACATTCTTTATTGCTGGTTTGCAATCTGATCTTCAAGGGGCTATACAGTTACGTTGGCCTTCTACATTACATCAAGCAATGCAGTTAGCTCTTGCCTATGATAGCCATCATTGTGAGTTGAGGCCTTCTCTTACGACTCAACCAAAGCGTTTTTTTCCAAAATCCAACTTTGCAGATAAGGTAGGGTCTTCCTTACCACCTGTAGTGTCACAACCAATTGTTCCTTCTACAAATGCTACTGAATCCTTACCAATTAAGAAATTGTCTTCTGATCATTTAAAACAAAGGAGGGAGTTGGGATTGTGTTATACATGTGATGAAAAATGGACAAATAAACATCGTTGCAAGTCCAAAATGTTATTCATGATTGCAGATGAGGATGATCAAGAAGGGGAGTCTGAGGAGGAGATTTTGTGGTGTCAGACTGATAGTCCAGGTTCTAAAGTAGATGCTGCATTGCATTCTTTATCGGGCCCTGCTGATGCTAGATCACTGGTACTGATTGCCCTGGTTAATAGTCGCGAGGTTCAGGTGTTGATTGATTCAGGCAGTTCACATAGCTTTATCAGAAGAGATTTAGTTATTCAACTTCAATTACCAATAATCAAATCTCCAAAGATGAGAGTTTTTATGGGTAATGGAGAGTTTTTAAAGTGTGACAAAAAATGTCCTAAGGTGAAATTGTGTATTCAAGGGCATTGTTTCAAAACTGACTTATTTGTGGTGGACCTCTGTGATCTCAGCATAGTGTTGGGGATGCAATGGTTGGTGACTTTGGGCAGAGTTACTCACCATTATAAGGAGTTGTTGATGGAATTTCTTTGGCATGGGAAACTCATTACATTACAAGGTGGTACACAATTACAGCATTCAGAGTCTGATGCTATTGTTGATACCAACTTCCATTTTCTTCAAAGCCAAGACCAAGTTATCCATGAAGAGGTACTTCCTGAATTGTTAGGTTTACAAGATAAGATCCCTTCATCCTTGTGGTCTATTTTGGTTGACTGTCAGCAAGTGTTTGCTACTCCTAAGGTGTTACCCCCTTTTAGGGACAACACTCATGCCATTCAGCTATTAGATAATTCTCAAACTGTTAAGGTCAAGCCTTATCGGTACCCTTATCATCATAAGACCGAAATTGAGAGACAAGTTGTTGAGTTATTGAGCAATGGTTGGATACAACACAGTCATAGTGCCTTCTCTTCTCCTGTGTTATTAGTGCGAAAGCAGGATCAATCTTGGCGAATGTGTGTAGATTACAGGGCCTTAATTAAATGCTATGACCATCAAAGATGCTTTTCCTATTCCAACCATAGATGAGTTGTTGGATGAGCTTTTTGCAGCTAAGGTATTTTCCAAGCTTGATTTGTGTTCCGGTTATCATCAAATACGTATGAAGCCCGAAGACATACATAAGACAGCTTTTAGAACTCATGAGGGCCACTATGAGTTTAAGGTGATGCCTTTTGGTCTCACTAATGCCCCTGCCACCTTTCAAGCTGCCATGAATGGTATTTTTCGTCCATTCTTAAGGAAATTCATTGTAGTATTTTTTGATGATGTGTTGATTTATAGTGTATCTTTGGAGAAGCATGCTGATCATTTGCAGATAGCATTGACTTGTTTGCTACAAAATTCGTTTTTCATTAAACTCAGTAAATGTGAGTTTGGAGTGGGTGAGATAGCCTATTTGGGGCATGTGGTTTCTGCTACTGGTGTTAGTGTGGATGTCAAAAAAATTGCAGCTATGATAGATTGGCCAATTCCCAAGTCAATCAAGCAATTGAGGGCTTTCCTTGGTTTAACAGGATACTATAGAAGGTTTGTTAAGAGCTATGCTTCTTTAGCTCATCCTTTAACTGAATTACTTAAGCAGGACAAAATTACATGGACCAAAGAAGCGGATTTGGCTTTTATAAAATTGAAGACAACAATGTCATCTACTCCCATATTACAGTTGCCTGACTTTACAACACCTTTTATAGTGGAATCAGATGCTTCAAATATTGCAGCAGGTGCAGTTTTATTGCAAGGTGGGAAGCCAATCTCCTTCTTTAGTAAGAAATTTGGTCTACGCATGGCTGCCTCATCAGCATATGTTCGAGAATTGTATGCCTTAACTAAAGCCATTAAGAAGTGGAGACATTACCTCCTTGGATCTCATTTTGTGATCAAAACTGATCATCAAAGTCTAAGGGAATTGCTCCACCAAAATGTCCATACTGCAGATCAGCAAAAGTATCTTTGCAAATTAATGGGCTACAATTTTACAATTGAGTATAAATCAGGGGTTTCGAATATAGTTGCAGATGCTTTATCCCGACAATTCCCTGACGACGATAAGGCAAATGTACATGCTTTGAGGTCAGAACCAACACTGGAAATTTGGGAACAAATTAAGGAAGAGCATAAACAGGATACTGAATTGTTGGCCCTTCATAAAGCTTTAGAAGAAGGGACATATACTGGTCCTGCAATTTCTAAAAGACGTGGTATGCTTTTTATTAACAATAGATGTATGTTGGGATCCAATTCTCCTCTTAAGGAGATATTATTACAGGAAGCTCATTGCACACCCATAGGAGGTCATGCTGGAGTTCAACGGACCTATTTACGTTTGACCACATCCTTCTTTTGGAAGAATATGCGCAGTGATGTGAAGCAGTTCATTCGAAACTGTACTGTCTGTCAGAGTATTAAGACATCAACTCAAGTGCCATTTGGATTGTTGCAACCTTTGCCTATTCTAAATGCTATCTTTGATGATCTCACACTTGACTTCATTACAGCTCTTCCTCGATCTCATGGTTTTACTACAGTCTTGGTTGTAGTGGATAGACTATCCAAATATGCTCATTTTGGACCTCTTCCTTCATCCTACACAGCAGCAACAGTGGCCCAGCTATTCTGTGATTTAGTGGTCAAACATCATGGGTTTCCCATAACTTTATTGTCTGACCGCGATCCAGTGTTTATGAGTAAGTTTTGGCGCCATTTATTTCAGTTGAGTGGTACTAAACTCCTTGCAACTTCAGCTTACCACCCACAAACGGATGGCCAATCGGAAGTTACAAATCAATATTTGGAGCAGTATATGCGAGCATTTTGCTCTGAACTGCATTCTCAATGGTCCCAAATGTTGTGTTGGGCAGAATTGCATTATAACACATCAGTGCATTCTGCTCTTAATATGTCACCTTACCAAGCAGTGTTTGGGAAGGTTCCACACCTCATTCCACAATATGAGAAGGGTGTTGTCCAGTTAGAGGCAATAGATGCGATGCTCCAATAGAGGCAAGCGGTGTGGGATTATTTGAAGCTTCAGTTGCAAAGAGCTCAAGCACGTATGAAGCATCAAGCTGATAAACATAGGCAGGAACGTCTCTTTAAGGTTGGTGACAAGGTCTTAATCAAGTTACAACCTTATCGCCAATTGTCTGTTGAGAAAAGATCCAATCATAAGTTAGCCAAACGATACTTTGGCCCTTATGTTGTCGAGCAAGTCATTAGTCCTGTAGCTTATCGATTAACTCTACCCGCTGGAAGTATGATTCATCCAGTGTTTCATGTTTCAGTGTTAAAACAATTTTATGGCCCTAATGCTGTTAGTTGTGAACCTCTGCCATCAGTAATTGTGCAGAACAAACCAGTTCAACAACCTCTTGCCATTTTGGACTCGCGGGAAGTGCTGGTCAATGGTGTTCCACAGCAGCAACATTTGATCCAGTGGTCAGCTACGGTTCCGGAGGATGCATCATGGGAAGCAGCTGCCGATTTGCGCAAGACGTATCCACAATTGCACCTTGAGGACAAGGTCACCGTCGAAGGGAGGGCAGTTGATACGGTAGCAAGAAGGGGAGCCAGACTTAAGGGTGGTCCAACATGGGTCAAAGACTTTGTTTTATAAGCCCAATGGCTGTTATAGAATAGTTAAGGGAAATGCCCAATAACATTGTAAACTTACTGGTTGTTAACAGTTGGGGAAGATTAATGGGTAATGTCTACGTGGCTTGTAAAACATCTATAAAGGGGAGTTAGTTGTATTGAAACCGTTTTATCGAATTACAGAAATAACACATTGTTCTTGTTCTTGTTACTCAATACAAATTCTCTTCTGTATCAGTATACCAGATCCTTTGAATTGACTGTTTTCTTATTCAAACCAGGCAAAATTTATTGAATTCAGTTAAAGACAAGGAATCAAATTTATTGAAATTAGTTTTGAATCTTTGGAACTGATTTAAAATTTTAATCCTGAATCTGTCCCAAATCGAATTAGTTATGAACTGATGAACTAATTAAAATATTTAAAAAAAAGTTTAAGGCAACGAGGTGAAGAAAAATAACCAATTATTTTTAATCAAATTGAAAAAAATGGACATTTTTTTATGTTTTTTTTATTGTTTATTATTATTTTTTTGGGTTCGCTTTTTCTGCAGTTACTGTAGATAAGTTATCTGCAGTAAGTCCAATACGACATCGTTTTGGGACGAAAATCATGGTGTTTTTGTAATTTTAATTTATTTCAGGGTTATAATAGTCTTTATATTTATAATTTTTTAAGATTTCAATATAAAACGACGTCGTTTTATAATAAAAGCAGATAAATTATCTGCATTAATTGCAGAAATATTTTTCCCTATTTTTTTATCATGCGTGCATACGTTACAACTCTGGAATTGGTGCTATCTGCTATCGAATTCATCCCTCTGTGACTTTTACGACAATCATCCAATGAATAAAAATGCGACTGAAACACTCCGTAAACTTACCTAATTCACATATCATAGGAATTAAAATGCGTGTCACTTTGTCGTTTGCTAGTGCTGGTTTGTATGGGGCAATTTCATTTTTTATTTTCTTGACATCGTGGAAAATGTGGGCGGTATCGGTATGTATGAACATTTTACACCGCCGGTCACAAAAGACAATTAACTAACAAATGAATCATTATAGTGTTTAAAATTACATAGAGTTACTACTTCTTACTATTAAATTTTAATCGTTGATTTCTGTTAATTTAACGGTTATAATTTATTAAAAATTAATAATTAATTAATAAGTATGACCCAATAATTACAATCATTAGATTGACAAAAATCAAATGTTAAGATTTAATAATAAGAGTTAATAAGAATAAAATGTAGTAACTATAACTTTCCCTTAAAATAATTAATAGGAGAATTATTTTTTCTATCAGTGACCATTCGATTTTCATGCAATATTTTTTTGTTTTTTTTGTTTTTTTTAATAAATGTAGGCTATATATAAAATGTGTCTATATCATGAGAAATTTTTTTCCTAATATATAAAAAATTAAAGCCCTTAAAATAATCTTTAGCAGTTTGAATATGTGAACTGAATTTTTTCGTATATTTAAATGTATAGTTGTAAAATCCGACCCGATCCGGCCGGGTCGACCCGGAACCCGGCAAATCGGTTATTGGATCGGTCATGTATCAACCCGGTCAAAACCTGACCAAACCCGATCAAAACAGGTAATCCGGTCGGGTCATGTATTTAAAAAAAAAACAAAAAACTAAAATTGTTTCATCTTGTCAAAAAAAAAAAAAAATAGAACTCATTTTAAAAATATTTTGTAATTTTATTTGCTAGAATACTCTTCTATAATGACCTCAAATTTCAGCTTCCAATACTGAAACAATTTGCGAAATAATAAATTAAGAGAATGTGACATATATCATTTTTAATGTAGTTGAATTTGAAAAACATGAGTTCAATGTCATTGAGAGGTATATTTATGGGGATTCTGAGTTGCAATTTAAATTGACATAGTAATAACATGCATTTTTATTTATTTATACTTCTTATTTTTGAGCTTATTTAATGAACATTGTTTAATTTATTTTAAATATAGAGAATATAATAAAATTTATATATTCATATAAATATATATTTTTATATATCTATATATATCTGGATCAACGGATCCGACTAGTAATTTATCGATCGATCCGACCAGTAACCCAAAATCCTAGTACTCCGACCGGATCGATGTCCGGAGCGGATTTAATAACATTGTTTAAATGTCCGTTGGCGTATCTCTCTCAGAAGTTGGACATGCGACACACGGCTGGAGAAAAACAAATTTAAAATCTTTGGATTCATCACGAAGAAAGTAAGTAAAAACAGGAAGAAAGTAATTAAAAGAAAAATCTCTACTCTAGGTTATCGAGCGCCTTTGGATGAGTTTTTGAAAAAAAAAAAATTATGAATTATATTTTTAAAAGAAATTTTTTCATAAGTCAAAGTTATTTTACATTTAAATATAATATTCAAAGTGCTTTTGAATAAAAATAAAAAAATGCCTTTTAAGTATAAAAAGACTATTGTGCCTTTTCCTCCTTAAAACACTGAAACTATGTTAGCTTCCCTTCAACGAGGAACAAAACAGTGTCAGCTTTGATTCAATGCATCCCAAACTGAAATGTGCAAAAAACATTGAAATTCAAATGAAAATAGAATGGCGAGCTGTAATCGAGCCACCGTATCTCCGACGAGGAAGAATCTCGAAGTCTCTCTCGTTCGATTTCAGGTTCTAATTCAAACTTCTCTCTCTGATTATGCAAAGCTAACGTATGAAACCCCAAAAAATGAGTGCGGTAGGTATTTGTTTCTTTCTCCGCCCTTTTCATATTTTGTTTGTGTAAATTTTTTCGTTAAAAGGATTGAAGGATTGATCTATACTCTTGATTCTATAGGTGAATTATGTTCCCTTGTTTGAAATATTTCCCCTTGTTCTGGATTAAAAAAAGTGATTGTGCTCGCTCTGTGAATGTTCACAGCAAAATGTTCGAAGGAGAAAAAAGAGAAACCACATTGAAAGATGTCGAAACTGTGGAGCAGAACGTTCACAGCAAAATGTTCACTTGATTTTGGCTTTTCCTTTTTTCAAAAACTACAAATTTTAGCTTTTTCAAAATGGAAAAACTATTACACGCGGTAAGTTTTCCTTTCTATACATCTTTCGATAATAGTGAAACCAATTTTTTTAGGTGTTGGCCTCACCACTATGTATCTATGACATAAGATTTCCTCTCTCATATGATATGAGATTAAGTAAGTCCTTTTCAAAAAGTCATATTTTAACTTTTTTAATGGCTTTTGCCGGCAAAAAAATTAAAATATTGTATTTTTAATAAATAATTACGAATAAGTTGTTATTTCAAACCTATTTACAGATCTATTGCACTTATTCACGCTCAAATTAGGCGTGACTATTCACGCCTAAATTAAGAAAATATTTTATATGGTTCAGGACCAATGAATCTTTTGGTACTCCCTCTCATAACATTAATTTTTTCTTTCCCTTTTATCTCTGTTATTTTTTCTCCTTTTCAATTTTACGCTTCTATTTACACTAAGGGACCACCTAAAAAATGGTGGTCCTGGTTCACAATAAATAATCTCCTAAATTAGAAGTGAATCGTCTGATGTTGTCACGTGACACGAAAAGTTAATAGTTTAACCGTAAAACTTTATAAGGTTATAACTTTTGACTCGGGTATCCAAATCAGGTAATTCTTTTTTTGATTCTACATAACTTTTCGAGATCTACGCAATGACATCTCATTTGATATATTTTATCTCTCACAGACAAAATTCAAATTTGCAATAATGGTAGTATAAAGATGGTACCAAAGTAGATTAGTCCATCTAAAGTTTGGAAAAGTCTGTGATACTAAACAAAGGTTGAGTCTTTATGGCTCGATTCGTTGGAAGCTTATGAATGATTTTCAAAAATAAAATTTTTCTTCCTTAAAGATTTAGAATATTTATTTAATTATTTCCTTTATTAATACAGATCTTTCGAATTGGTTTTTGAGTTTAAATCACAAATCAAATCTTTATTTTGTTTTCCTTATTAATAATAATTTTTTAATTTTTTTAATTTAAATCACAAACCAAATCTTTATTTATTTTTTATATTAAAAATTAAAATATTGATTTTTTAATTTAAATCATAAATCAAATCTTTATTATTTTTTTATATTAAATCACACGCAGAACTCGGAGGCTCATGGTTTAAACGCTCTTATAATATGATTATTGTAAATTTGAATTGTTTTGTGAGAGATAAAATATGTCAAATGAGTTTTCATTGCGTAGATCTCGAAAAGTTTTGTGGAATCAATTTTTTTTTTTACCTGATTTGGATACATGAGTCAAAAGTTATGACTTTCTAAAATTTTACAGTTCGTAAGTTGAATTTTTTGTGCCACGTGTCAACACCAGATGAGTCACGCCCAAATTAGGCGTGACTATTCACGCCTAAATTAGGTGTGAATGCCTTGGGAGTCACGCCTAATTTGGGCGTAAATAGTCACGCCTAATTTGGGCGTGAATAAGTGCAATAGATCCGTAATAGTTCCGAAACAGCTATGTATTCGTAATTATTTATTAAAATAGTAATATTTTATTTTTCTGGCTTTTGTTTTTTTGAAAAGTTAACATCTAAACAATCAAAAAATCCTAAAAACACTTTTATTTATAAAAAAAATATTTTGTATAGAAAGAAGCCCATCTAACCAATATCTAAATTCTCTTGGATTTATAGTTGTCCATTTTAAAATAAAAAGTAAAAATGAAAGATTGAGATAAGAGAGATTTTCTGATTTCAAGACTAAGACATCTCAGTATCTCATTTAGGGGCTGTAAGAATTAAATCTAAAACCTTAAACCATTATTATTATTATTATGATATAGTTGGATTGAAGCTAACTTCACGGGCACCTTTTATTCATAAGTAAATAAATTTGTTTATTCTCTGCATTTAAAAGAAGCATGAGTCGTGAGTTAGGTAGTTCTATTCATGAGGCTTCAACTGCCTCGAAGCATAGGCAATCACCTTGCCCAACTGCATCAACACACAGCCCAGCCCCTTTC